CTACAGTAAATTAAAACTACATTAAAACATTACTAAAAAAATTTTGCGCCCCCCCCCCTTGGAAAATTAATCTTTTTTTTTGCCCCCCCCCCCCACAATAGAAAGTTTTCTGCGGGCGCCCAAGGGGGGGGGGGACTAATTGGGATTCTTGTAAAGTTTGTTACTTTTATGCATGTTTTGTAAAATGTTAACACCCCCCCCCCCGCCTCCAATAACACGATATTACATTTTATAAAGAATTTATACGAAAAACTTCGTTTTTAGCAGTTGTTAAATGTACTGTTTAACCTCTACATTTACCGATCTTTTAAGTTACAGCGTTTGGGTTGAAGGGTTTCATGACCGACCTTTCCAGGAACCATTTAGAGGTCAGGAGGAATAGTTATGTCCTTTTTGGTTGCGATCCATTGCCCGGTTGCCTTGTGATTGCTTGACCAATTCACAAACAAACCTAGTCACACAGAGCTTGGTGGTGTAGATTTCTTAGTTTTATGTATCATCAAAAATAGAATTGTTGAGTTGACCTCAATTTATTTTAATTCCGCACTGTTGGTAATGGTCTAACTTTTTCCAAACACTCCCACTGTTTTGATGACGTAATTGGGGGAAGGGGGGTATTCCGAGTTACGTCAAAATTAAAAACGGAGGAGGGGTATTTGATAGGGGTGCTAAGTGTATGAAGAAATGTGTTGATTATTGTCCCTTAAAAATCTTAATAACTAGGCAATAGAAATGCATGTACCAGGAACATAGCTATAGAAGAGTGGGTTAGCATAGCTGTAGAAGGGGGGACAACATAGCTGGTAGAAGAGTGGGGCAACATAGCTGGTAGAAGAGTAGGGCATATAGCTGGTAGAAGAGTGGGGCAACATAGATCGTAGAAGAGTGGGGCAACATAGCTGGTAGAAGAGTGGGGCAACATAGCTGGTAGAAGAGTGGGGCAACATAGCTGGTAGAAGAGTGGGGCAACATAGCTGGTAGAAGAGTGGGGCAACATAGCTGGTAGAAGAGTGGGGCAACATAGCTGGTAGAAGAGTGGGGCAACATAGCTGGTAGAAGAGTGGGGCAACATAGCTGGTAGAAGAGTGGGGCAACATAGCTGGTAGAGGAGTGGGACAAAATAGCTGGTGGAAGAGTGGGGCAACATAGCTGGTAGAAGAGTAGGGTAACATTGCTGTAGAAGAATTGGGCATCAATCTTAATTATAAAAAAATACAAGTTAAAATTATATGGTTTAAAACAATCTAGATTAATTTTTGTTTGTATCAATTTTGGAACTCAAAAGAGTGCGAAATTTTACCAGGTTCGGGTAAAAAGACCTTACTCCAGAGCTCCGAACTCCACTTTAAGTCCATGGGAGTAATTATGATAGGCATTTTATACAAATAAAAAATAGGTAGGCCTATGGGCGCCGGCAGAATTACACGTGGAAGATGCACTTAGCCTAACCCTAACTCTAACTCTAACCCGGCCAAATGCACTTGTTTCGAGCAGGGGGTGGAATAATCTTGGCCCGCCCTGGGAAGCACTAGCTACGCAACTGCCAGCAGTGCAGACATTGCACGTTACTCATTAAAAGCTCATTGAATAAAACCATAGCTTTACCGGTTCTCCCCGGAATGATGTTTACAAAACCCCCAACCCAGACCTCTATGAACTTAAACATAATCAAAACAAATATCACATATGAAACAGATATAAAATAATTCTAAGCTTAAATATACCACAAAACACTAAATAAATTTGAAAAAAAATGGAGGAAAAAAAAACCTCTATATGATCGTATTCCTTAAGGTGAACTTACTGCCTCTCAGGCGTCCCCATTGCAATTAGAAATTTAACATTATTATTTTTTAATTATGATTTTTTAATCATATAAGGCCTAACTTTATTATTTTTTTTTCGCATAACACACGGGACTAAGACACTGCTTTAAAAAAATGCAACACGGTTCATCATTAAAATAAAACCTATTTACAATATTGTCATAAGGTTGTCATTATTTTATTAAGGTACAGTCTTGGAAAATAAATTTTCTTTTAAATCTCTTCGTCTTCATTAAATATGGTCTCTTCCACTCCCACCCCACCTCTTACAATTTTGTTTCCACTTACACATCGGCATCCATTTGCCTGATTAGTCTCAGCTGATCAATTCGAATATTGTTTTCTAATAATATTAGCCAATATACAAACGTTTATGCCCCCCCCCCCTTTTTTTTTTGGAACGAGTTCAATGATATTTATGACAGTGAAGAGTAACTATCAAATTTCAAAATGTTATACGTTGTTTAAGAGACTTCGTTGAGCCTAGACGGCTTGCGGCAATTTGCGGTAATCTAGTATTCGGGTTATACTGCGGTCGCTCATTTCACAATACGAGAAAAAATATAGTTTCAACTTCAAACGAAAGCAAATATGTTACAACGACTTAGGATGCTATAAAAAAGTAACTGAAGTTGAGTAAAATAGCTTTACTTTTTATTGTTTGTCTCATATACAATAACAATACTGGTAAAGAGTGGTCATTTCAGTTGTCCAAAGCAGTTTCTGAATGCGGAGAGTGTCGCCACTTGATGGCTCGTAATGTTGTTTACAACTTAGTTAGATTTTGCTAAGTAATAACGCTAAACTTATCATTAAAGTTAATTATTTCAAAAGAGATAATTATAAACATGTCGAGGATGGAACTAAATATGATCCAGGCTAAACTGAAAACTGCCATTCAAAACCATCAGGTAAGAAAACGAAGGTTTTTTTCAACACCCCATTCGCCCTCGCGTTATTGATTTTTTTTGCCTCACTCACTCGACATCATCAATTGCTAATGTTTACGCAAATAACAACTTTTTTTTTCGTAAAAAGTTTATTTTCGGAAATGAAAGTTAAGAACTAATTAATGTCACCAAAGTTGATTGATTTAATTGGGTTTTCTAAAAATCTTGCTGCTTGAAAGTTTACAGGCAAAATAAATCTCTCTACTCTATGTAATACTTATTACCATGGTTTCCCTGTCCTATTTGTGACTTGAGCAAGGCACGACGCAGGACTGAGTTTGTGGTTTTATTGATTATTCCTGTATCAAACTTGACGATCTTTAAGGTATTTAAATGTGTTTATCTTATTTCTTGTATAATCTACAGTTGTTGGTGGTAAAGATGAAAGGGGATAATCAGGTAATGACTAGAGATAAACTTTTAATTTTTAAATGAAGTTGATTACAATAAATCAATAATGAATCCCCAGTTTTCCCAGGTTTCACCCATTCCATGAATGTGTTGCCGCACTGCTATCAGAATGTAGTGTGTGCTGACAAACTATTGATTTTTGTTAAGAAACTTTTCATGCAGCCATTTTCTGTTGTTACATTTACATTCTTTACATCTTTTTTTAAAATAAATTATATTTTATAGAATTATAGAGATAATCTTTTAATATTGATACTAATGATACCCCTACTAAAAGAATGTAAAAAAATTATTTCTTGTCTATTTTTATTTTAATGATTTTTTTTTTCTTAGAATGTGGCTTTAAAAAAAGGATTACTTGAATTGCAAGAAGAAATTAAAAGACTAAGTGAAGAACAAGTAAGTTAAACTTTGTTGGAATCTAAAAGATAAAGTAACTGTCTTGTAGTTCAAATGAAATATAGGCCCTATAAATACTATACATCTTTTCTTCTTTCTTTTTTAAAATCTGCTATGTCCCTTATTGAATATTTTTTCAGATAATAAGTCAAAGTGTCACTTGTTTTTTTGCTATTTTCAGACCTAAAATTGAATATAAAGTAAGAGATAAAATAGGCTTTAGATTTTCAATAAACATAAGTTCAATTTACATATATTGTTTGAGAAAGATAAATTTGTTTATGAACTTACAATTTTTTTGGCAATTGTGTTTTGTTATTTTAAATCATCACTTAGATAGAATGGTACATCTGTATCACTTTTGTCCCTATCCCATCAGATCATCTGTTTATGTACCGTAGTTATGACATTAAAAAAAAATATTATAATATAAAAGTTATTTAACTTTTTGATTCATCAATTAACTGACCTTCCAAATTAAAGCTACATAAACTGCTTGTAATCTCTATGTTAAAAAATACTATGTCGCCTCCTTTAAATATATAATTGCCATTCTCTCTTTGCCACTCAGAAAAAAATAGTTGTAAAATTGAGGGAAAGCCTTGTCAAATCCACAACCCAGTCTCAATCTCAAACACTGGCAACCTCTTTAGCAACAGTTGGTCCAACTATCACAGCCATTGGGCAGCCGCGTTTAGTAAGTTTTCCTACTCAGGGTGGAGCCACCATTTTACCCGTAGGCATGGTAGCTGTTCCTATTGCTCATATGCAGGTTAGTCAATCTTTTTCAATACTTATCTTTATTTTCTTCATGCAAATAAATTATGTTCTTTAAAAAAAACTATTTATTAATTTAAGCAAATTGGTACAGGAAAAATTGTCTGAAGACAAAAGTGGGTCAAACCAGGGTACTTAGAGCTCTTAAATAGAAAAAAAAAAAAAAAAAAAAAAGGTAAGCAGTAAAAAAAAAAAAAACCAAAAACAAAAAAAAACGTAAGCAGTACAGAACACTCTGCCCTCAATCATGATAAATGGCAACTTGCAATGTAAATGTATACCTAAACATTCCATGAAGTCAGGATTTCCCCAAAAGTGCAAGTTTGCATAAGATATTGCTGTATTTTGTTACTGTTAAAAGTCTATTCACTCACTGTACCATAACAGTGGTAAAAGTTAATTTTAAACTATATACCTCAGACTGTTAAAAAAACTAGATCTTTAAGTTTTACAGTTACATTTATGCGGGTGCCCATTTTTGTTTTAGGAAATATATTTAAAAGATTTTATTGCAATGCTGGCTCAAAGTCTGTAAAAACTGGTTAATAATCAGCCTGCTGTTTAGCTATTTTTACAAATACCAGTTGAAAAATTCAAATAGGTAAAGTGATGGCATATATAATTCTTTTTTTCATTCAAGTATGGAATACAATGTGCAAAGCTATCTTCTATAGAGGTTATGGTCATCTTTATTCAAAACAAAGCTACTGCTTCTTTTGTCACCATTAAAAAAAAATGTACTTTAACTTAAAAAAAAACAACCTTGTATTAATACTTGTAATACAATTTAAAATTTTAAACAAATGTGTAAAACAAGCTCTGCTCCAAGTAACACATTTTTAACTAAATGGAGTATAAAAAAATAAAGTTATTTCCGCTTTAAAAGATTTTAAAATGACTGGTTAGGATTTAAATTTAAGCGATGTTGACTTAAGTCAAGTATTTACCATTTTATTTTAAGTTTTCTTTTTCTTCTTAATTTTTGCATATCAGTATTCCATAAATTAATTCCTTCAAAGCAATCAAGAAAATAGCAAACCCCACCCCAAACGTGTTTACTGATTCTTAGTAATACTTACTAAAAGCATGTGGTCAGTTCTGTTTGTTTAACATTATGTTATGTTATATTTCAGCATCCAGCAGTTTAATATATGTTAACCCTCTCTATCCAGCAAATTCATATGTTAACCCTCTATCTCAGCATCCAGCAGTTTCATATATGTTTGATAAGTTTCTTCTCTATCTCAGCGTCCTGCTGTGGGCATGTCAATCCATCCAGCCAATGCCGGCCCCTTGTCACAAGCCACAAACATCTCTCTCATACCGACCGGCATGCTCAGTAGCGGCTGCAATATTAATCTGAACACCATCAACAACAGTGGTGGCATCAGCATTGCCAACAATCTTGGTGGCATCATCCACGGTAATATAGCCATCAGCAACATAAACAGCTATGGGGGAGCCATCGCCAGCATCGGGAGCAACAACTTAATCACCTCTACCACGACCACCACCCCCAGCACTGGAATGGCATTCAATGATGGCACCATTAACCTAGCCAGCAATAGGCATGTGAACAACCACACTGTGGTTAGTGCCGGGGGTCTAGTCTCCAACAGCAGTATTGTGCTCAACAACCTGACCAACATGGCCAATCTCTTCGTCACCAGCAATTTGAACAACAATGCTCACATTTTGACCAACAACAATATGGTTACCAATAACTGTGTTCCCACTGGTAACGGCACAGTTTGCAGTCTGCCTGCCGGTGTCATCACTCCCTGCAGTCAGAACGGCATTGCTACTTCCTCTGGTCAGCCTGCCAGTGTCCACCCCACTCCAACTACGAGCAGTGTGTCTAGTGCAGGTGTGGTTGTGACCCAGTTTCCACAGCAACCCTTGGTCCAGCCACAGCTGCTCCAACAACAGCAGCAACAGATTCTACAAATGATACAGCAGCAACAGCAGCGCATGGTTTCACACCTGCCTATCAAAGTTCCTCAGTACACTGCTTCTCACATTCGGTCTGTCACCACTGCAGCACCTGTCCAGGTATGATACTAAAATTTTCTACATCTTTTATTTTAGTGGTCTTATGTCTCAGTAATAAGCATAGATATGTACATAAGGGTCCATATAAATTTCATATTACACGTAATTATTCACATTTCTTAAAGCTTTTATTTTTAAGTACAGTTGAACCCCCTTATCTCGTCCTCCGTTAACTCGCCAACCCTGTTATGTCAACGTTTTTGAAGTAGAACCGCCAAATTCTCTACTGGAGCATTTTCTCCTCGGTTATGTCGATTCATTTATGTTGCCGAACCCTGATATCTTGAGCACAAAAGGCGGCGAAATTTGCCACTTAACTTTGGTTATCTCAATCCCCATGACCAATCGCCTGGCTTTTGAACTCCACAAGAAGAAATAGCAAACAACAAGTATACAAGTTTTTTATAATTAAAAATAATTATTTATTTCTCAAAATACAGGACTTGTGTTTTAGAATGAACCTAGAAGTAATTTAAATAAATATTTTTAAATTCAAGGTTTAAAAACCCGGTAGAGACCATATCTTGAATGATCATAATTTGCCATGTGCAAAACGCTGTCATGGGCAGCCATTCACAGTCACTTGTATAATGGCTATGCCATGGTACTACGTCAGAGTTTCATTCATAAGAGTTTGCCGTGTGCAAAAGCTATTAAACCATTGGTCAGGGAAAGCTTTAATTAAATAGTCATGTGCCAAAGTTGAAAGTTCAAAATAAGTAGTCTCCAAATATTATTTTAGTGATAAGGGGATGTGTTGCCTTATATAAACTGTATTGTCAATGTGCAAGACAAGATCAGCAGAATGGGGTCACACAATGTGGAAGCTTCGTTCAAACGAACTCGCACTTGAAAAATTCGTAGCTCAAAAAGTACTCAAGTTAATAAGTTGATTCTGGTTTCATTTTTTTAATTTGAAATTTTCTCTAAATAACTGTAATATTAAAAAAATTATTATTATTATTTTTTTTACTGAAGTTTATTAACGCATATCAAGTGCATAAAGAAATTTCAAGCACATATTAATATATTGCCCCCATATTGGATTTCGGTTATCTTGATGCTTTCTGGCAAACCCAGAGGCCGTCGACATAACCGGGTTCTTCTGTATTGATAAGTATTTACAAGAATTATTATTGGCTGATGCTCGAGTCAATTACTTTTATTATTGTTAAAAGTAATGTTATGTACTTAAGTAACAATTTATTAATTAATAGCTATTAATAATTAGCTGCAAACATAGCATGAACAATTTAAAGGGATTTAAATCTGCTCTGTTTGACTGTATTTCTTTTTCTTTGGTTAGTATTGCAGTATAGCACCAGCCCCGACCACAGCTGTCTCAACGCAGGGCACGTTGGTGGTTCCCACTCAGGGCGCCCCAGCGGTACCAACCCATTGCACCATGGTCGTTACACCACCTGCAAATATTGTAACTCTGAAACCAGTGGGCACGGACGAACCTGTTGTCACATCCGTCAGTGACTTCATCCACCCGGTCACTACAGTTGCTAACACGAACTCTGCCATTGTCAGCCCAAGTGCTGTCTCTGTTACAGTCACCGCCACACCAGTCACTTCCTGTAACCCCCCTGTCAGTGTGTGTAACACCCATGTTATAGCCTCTAACACACCCGTCTCTGCCTGTAACGCCCCTGTCAGTTCCACAAATGTGAAAGATTCCATGGGCCAGGTGGCCATTCAACATGCAACTCTACAGAAGCCACTGGCTGGTCTCCAACCAAAACAGTCAAATCAAAAACAACACAAGCAACAATCAAAAGTCTTACATGTTAAACAGCTTACATCAGATGATCAAGAAGTGAGTTATAATTAAACAATCCCTAAAAACACATTTTTTCATATAAATCCTTTATGTGCATTTTTATTATTTTATTTTATATCAGTATTCTAATGCCCCATTTGTTTTTACACTGTATATTTATTTCACAAATTATTTCTGAAAAACAAAAGAAAATATTATGAACCAAGGCACTTGCAATAGTTTTTTAAAAAGAATATCATTTAGCGCAGTTATCTGGAATTTTATTCTATGAATTCAGTGTTATCATATTTCCTTCATCTCCCTGTAGGAAAACAGGAAAAACTGATTTCTATAACCATCAATTAACAGTTTTGCTTAAGTGCAGTCTGGTAACTGTTATTAAATATAGGTCACGTGCTGGTACCAAGCAGTATCAAATGAGAGTTGGTCTGGCCGTTCTAAAATTAGATTTGAATAGCTGATACGATCTTATAACATCTGACCTTGTTGTGTGGAGCTGTTGGTAATGCATTGTTAGAGTCCAAACTTGGGACCCCATTTTGCACATACATTGTCTTCAATTAATTACTATTTTAGTCATGGTTTTCTAATATTGAATCAATGTATCTAAGACAGTTTTATAAGAATCTCCTATGACTCACTTATTCCTCTGAAAAATTTGTTTAAAAGTCGTCTCTTTAGATCTAGTATATACTGTAATTCAGTGGTTCTCAGCCTTCCAAATGCAGCAACCCTTTAATTCAGTTCCTCATGTGGTGGTGACTCCCAACCATAAAATTATGTTTGTTGCTACTTCATAAATATGTGTTTTATAATGGTCTTAGGCGACCCCTGTGTAGGGTTGTTCTACCCTCAAAGGGGTCGCATCCAGCAGGTTAAGAATCGCTGCTGCAATTGACCCAGATAATTTTTTGTGATCTATAAAAATTAAACACATTGGTTTTATTAACAAGGTTGATAAGGTTTCCAAATGATTTCTTCTAGCATTAGAAATTTTAACAAACTAAATTTTAAAAAATAGCTATTTATTACCTTTTAGCTTGAAGTCTGTGCAATCTTAAACATAATAAATTGTCAATATTCTTTGCAAGATGAATGTGAATCAATCATTATCAAATGAACCCAATTTATTTGTTTTTCACTTAAATTTCGAAGTCCATTGATCAAACTCTCAACTTTTCGTCAAAAGACGCTGCTAGAAAGTCGCTGATGTTCTTTCTGATTCTTCGAAAGGAACCTTCTTATATTTTGTATAATGAGCTGTTGAACATAAGCATGTTTTTATTCAGGTAATGAGATTAACATTTTGGTAAAGATGTGTAAGAGATAATTAGTAAAGAAGACATTAAATGCATTTTTATTTTGCTTTCAGAAAAAAAAATTCCTGGAAGTCCTTGATTTGTATACATCCGACGCTTTAATTGGTGAGAAATAATATAGTCTACATGAATATTTTAGTTCTCAAGGCTGTTATGAGTAGAACATGTAAATTTTTAAATGGAATCTAGGTAGGAATAGCTAAGTTCAAGCCTTTTCCCACACAAACAATCAGTTTAAATAACAATAACAATGTATTGAACTTGTGTCTAACTAATAACCTTTTACTTTAATTAGTAGCATTGGCCTTTGTAAATTGTAAATACATGGGCTTCCTTCCCTCACAGAACTCCTGCCAGGTAAGAGAGAGATGTGAAGGAAGACCTAATTCCATAAAAAGTTCCATAGACACATTCATTCAGCCGATGGTCAGATGTCACAAAACATTTACAACATACCTCTCAAATACTTGTGTTCACACGTTCCATTAAAAAAGAAAGATTTTAAAACACTTCATTAGCTCATAATTTCCTTCAACAGGATTAGAGAATTTAGAATTAACTTCAAATGTGATAAACAAAAAAAGACAAGAACAAAATCAAGACAAAACGAAGACACAATTATTTAAAATCTGATTTATGAGAACAAGGTAGTTGGTAGATGTAGTGTTAATCTTCTCTATTTCAAACTGTACTCCTGGAAACTTAAACATAGCTAATATCAATAAAATACAAACCTAGAACGTCACACTCCAATTTGATTAAATAATAAGGATCAACAATCTTGGGTCATGAAAGCTTTAACTATTTTACTGAAAGAATGAAACAAATAATCCTTTCAAGATAGGAAAAACCAGCTTAAGATAAAGGGTCAGGATATCAGGTCCTTAAATGTTAACAAATCGTCTTTTAAGGGTGAAGTTTTTATTGGTAATTTTAAAGAAAAGCCCTTCCTAAGGTTGGCTGTTGTAATTGGTTCAACTAAAGACAAAAAACACCAGTCACCGACCCGGCTAAAACTGGCCAGCAGAGAGGGATATCAGTGCAGATTTAAAGATTATTAGAATCTATAAATTTTCTTTCAGAATTGCTAAGGAGAAGAAATGAGAGAAAGCGTAGGACCACGGCCAACCCAAACTACAGTTTTGGTTTTGAAATAAGTGTAAGTAAATAAGTATCAAGAAATTTTTTGAGATGCCATCTTCTTTTTTTCCCAATTCAAGAATACTCTTGCTGAACAGTGAGACTAGAACTATTTTTGAGGCAACTAAGTTGGAAATAACAATATTTATTAATATAGTATATCTTGTATTATTCATATAGTATATCTTGTATTATTTTATAAATAGGAAATCAATGACATTTCTATTATTGTTTTTTTGTTAGAAAATAACCAGAAATCAAACTGTGAAATAAAAATTTCATACGTATCGAAAACATTTGAGACGGCAAGATTTCATTTCAATTAAAAAAACTGATATAGATGAGATAAAGGGTGGCATATACTAGACACATCCCTCAACCAAACCTGATATAGATGAGATAAAGGGTGGCATATACTAGACACATCCCTCAAGCAAACCTGATATAGATGAGATAAAGGGTGGCATATACTAGACACATCCCTCAACCTCCCCCCCCCGAAGTTTGGTCATTTTATTTTTTGTCCACACAGTGTAGAGTTGAGCTTAATTTTCAAGTTCTATATTATCCCTAGTTCTAAAAATAATGCAAGGTATACCTTAATTAGTATCGTTACAAATCAGTTTTTAAAAAAAACTTTTTTTTGTCATTGCAGCGCAGAGATGGCAGTGGTAGCATATGGGGAAGCAGCGCTGCCAAAAAGTCACGAGGTGTGTTCCTATTTTCTCTTCTACAAATTTTTTGTCTTTGGTTCTGCACTGCCAGGTCTGAAAAAAGCCAATTAGATTGAAAGTTCAATTTTATACGAAATTAATATTCCTTTGATATGACGGAAAGCCCCCCCCCCCCCCCCCCCCCCCCCCCCTCCTAAAAACCCCCCCCCCCCCCCCCTCCCTTCCATAAATGCCTTAACTTCATGGACCATTATAAAAATAGTTATGGTCATCTACACTTGTGTACAGCATTATAAATATAGATACAAATTCAAATATATAATTCAAAAGTTTTATCTTTAGCAAAGTCATTTTTAACGGCAAATTCCATTCTTTTTCCAATTTCATGACAAAACAGCTCGAGGCAAAGTTCATAGTTGGTCTGACTCGACTAGCATACAACAAGATGTCATCAGTAAGAAAATGGTAAGATCTATTGTGTTTGGTTTCAGTTTGAATTGGAGGCTCCTGTCATTCAGTTTGAATTGGAGGCTGATGTCATTCAGTTTAAATTGAAGACTCCTGTCATTCAGTTTGAATTGGAGGCTCCTGTCATTCAGTTTAAATTGGAGGCTCCAGTCATTCAGTTTGAATTGGAGGCTCCTGTCATTCAGTTTGAATTGGAGGCTCCTGTCATTCAGTTTGAATTGAAGGCTCCTGTCATTCAGTTTGAATTGGAGCCTGCTGTCATTCAGTTTGAATTGGAGCCTGCTGTCATTTATCCCAGGGTTAATAGCAAGATATATTAAAAAGAATCGTATATTCGTTTTTTAACTCTTTATTTTTAACATAGCGCAATGAGTAAAAAAACAAACATTTATCCTCATGACTTTTCATCCTGTAGGGTGAAAAATATGGTTATAAACACTGTCATCTCAATAACTTTGTCAAAGTTGGAAGATATTGATTTCTCTTTGTTAATTTAAATAAAGGAGTCTGTGTTAGTACAGCCAGCATAACAGAAACAGCACTGGTCCGAGTCATGAGCGACCTCCTGGGCGCGATGGATGATGGCAAACTCTCTATTCTCACTCTGTTAGATCTCTCTGCTGCATTTGATACCATTGACCACCAGATTCTTCTTGACCGCCTTCATCTTTCTTTCGGACTTACTGGCTCAGCTTTAAACTGGTTTCAATCATATCTTTCTGACAGAACTCAAAAAGTCTCTATTTCCAACCGCTCTTCCAAACCTTCAGCCCTGTCTATTGGAGTTCCTCAAGGATCGGTCCTTGGGCCGGTCCTTTTCATCCTCTACACTAAACCTCTATCATCTCTCATTAGCCACCACTCAGTTTCCAGTCAATCCTTTGCTGATGACACTCAAATCAGTGACTCTTGCTTTCCTGATCAACTTGATGCCACAATCCTTCGCATACAGGAGTGCGTGGACGATGTAAAGCGTTGGATGACTTGCAACAAACTGAAGCTAAATGATGATAAAACGGAAATCCTTCTCATCCACTCTCAAAACAAACCTCTCCCTCCATTCGCTCCTTCTTCTATATCTATTGGCAACTCTGACATCACACTCTCTCCCTCTGCCAGAAACCTTGGAGTCACGCTTACGGACACCCTCTCCATGGACAAACATGTCACGAATATATGCAGATCAGCATATAACGAAATTAGAAAAATCAGCACCATTAGACACCTCCTCTCCTTTGATGCCACAAAAACTCTCGTCTCTTCACTCATTCTTTCAAAATTTGACTACTGTAACATTCTTCTCTCAGGCATTCCTCAACACCACATAGAAAAACTTCAGAAGGCACAGAACTCAGCATGCAGACTCATTTTTAAATTAAAGAAACATGACCACATTCAACCACACATGCGGCAACTCCACTGGCTTCCAATATCCTCTCGCATCAAATACAAGTCTGCCAATCTTTGCTTCAACTCGTTCACTGACCCTCACTTTCCTGTCTATCTCTCTGAACTGTTGCTTCCTTACATCCCCACAAGACAATTACGTTCTTCCATTGACAGTAGAACCCTCTCAATTCCAAGAACCAAAACTAAGATCATCGGTGAACGCTCCTTCTACTTCCATGGGCCCACGTTCTGGAACCAGCTCCCCTTCCATATCCGTCATTGTGAAACCTCGTCCATTTTCAAAAAGTCCCTTAAAACTCATCTGTTGAGGTCCGCCTATGACCTGTGATGCACCCTCCTTGCCCTGCCTCATTTTCTGTTTCGGGTTGATCCTGAAGTATAGGCCAAAACGTGTTAAAGTGTCCTTGTTTTATAGCCATTTTCATTGTTTCTATAGTATAGTAGTTACTATCCTAGTGTCTCATTTTTATTTTACTTAGTTTACATGTTTTTAATAATTGTAAAGCGCTTAGAGCTTTATGGTAAACGTTATATAAAAATGCCTAAATAAATAAATAAATTAACTGATAACATTAAGTCTAATTACATTTAAATTGTATAACATTCCTCAGCTGAGTGCATTTTTAACAAACTGAATATTTCCTGAAAATTGCACTTTAAACAAGCCATTTTCAATTAAGAGTTGCGATCTAGCCATTAATGAAGGACATAAACAAGCTAGAACATGTGCACAGTGAAAAGGAGGTTATGCATGAATTTTTCTATGGTATATTGACGCTGTTTAGTGTTCTGTGGATCATCAATATCTTCACCATGCCCTTGGGTCCTTGGACAGTTGGGGTGCCACAGATGACATGAAAACTCTCCTTCTCCACTCCTCTCTGTTTTCTGTGAATATAAAGGTTAAAATCGGTCAACGCTTCTCTGCACTGTGCGGATGTAAAGTGTTAAATTAATTTTTTTATCTTAAAATGTGAACACTTTTTGTTGTGCCATAAATGAATCGTGATGACGTGCACTTGTGCATTTGTTAAATTTTCTTTAGTTATAAGTCACCAATGGCTTTACCAAATATTATGCAGCATGACAACCATGAAGACTATTGTGCAGCATGTGGTAAGGGAGGACAACTCCTGATGTGTGAGACCTGCCGACTGGTTTATCACTTAGACTGCTTGAGTCCTCCATTGACGGAGGCACCAACCTACGCCTGGAGTTGCCCCAAGTGTCTGGTAGGTTCCACCGCCTGGTTTTCTTCAGATGCAAACTTTTAGATTTACCAAACCATAAAACGCTTACAAAGTTCTGTTTAAGTGAAGTGTTACATGGTAAAAGGATGAATTATTTTATTTCTTTTGCCACAGGTTTCAGGAAGAGGTTTATTGCATCTCAACAGCGAAGCGCTCGCTAAAGTTAATTCATACATCGCTAAAAAAGCAGGTAAACTGTTTAAACTGTTACTTAAACTATTACAAACAAATCTGTTTCATGATCTTATTTGAGAAAAAAATTATTTGTAAAATTGATTTCTCGTGTGTTAAAACCCATTTTGTACATATTTTCCCATGCTCAGCCAAAGAAGAAGAAAAGAAAAAATGCGAACGTCAAAACAGAGAACTCAATGGTGAGAAAAACTTGCTGGAGAAAAGATCAAAACAGCTGGATGAGAAAATGAAAGTGAGTTGCATTGACTGTCTAAGCGATTGACATTTTTGTACTTCACACCTGAAAAAATACACCTATAAACTTATTATAGTTCAATATTTAAATGGTATTTCTTTAGTTCTAAAAGTCATTTAGGGGCCATCCATATAGTACTTGTGTATTTTAAAAAAAAGAAGAAAAAAGCCACTTTTCTCCCCTTCTCCTCTCTGTTGCATGCTTACTTTTTTGGGCACCCCCAGGGGTGCATACAATGAGCTTTCTACTCCAATACAATCATATAATTTTGATGTCACAGTAAACAAAATTTGTCTTGGGTTTCACAGCTGAATATTTGGCGAACCTAACGGTTCCCATAATACACTCTGTGTTGCCCTCCATGCCACATTGCCCTCAGGCAGGGCCATGAAAATGGGGCGAAGAGGGAGGTCACCCTGGGCGTTTTAGATAGGACCTTAATAGTGAATTAAAGTATTAGATAAGACCATAATAGTGAATTAAAGTATTAGATAAGACCATAATAGTGAATTAAAGTATTAGATAAGACCATAATAGTGAATTAAAGTATTAGATAAGACCATAATAGTGAATTAAAGTATTAGATAAGACCATAATAGTGAATTAAAGTATTAGATAAGACCATAATAGTGAATGAAAGAATAAAATGCCATATCATTGACAAAGACAAGGGGAGCTAAAAATGATCATTATGCTGGGGAGGGGGGAGGGACGTTGTGAAACATTACACAGTTTTCAGTATTTTATTGCCACTTCTAATACAATGGGACATCTTGCATTCGTGGTGCAAACAGTAACCCACTGGAGCAACTACTGTTTGCAATGACTAGATGACGCTCAGTGACCTACATGTACGCGTTTTTGTATTTTTTTTAACCCAACCCTTTATTTTATTTTGTTTCGCTATTTCGAAGTGAAAACTAACTGTAATAGATGAGATGGTGGTGTGAGGTATGGCCCGTACTTACTGTCGCGTACCAAGTAGTATTGGTGTTGGTTAATACGGGGCCACTCCTCTCTGTGATCGTTCGAAGACAACACAAAAACCAATGACTCAGAACTTCCCCAGTAACAGTTATAAACAAGAGAATGTATCGATAGATCTAAGACAGTCTAGTCATTGAGTCATTGAGAGAATGTATCGATAGATCTAATAGAGTCTAGTCATTGAGTCATTAAGAGAATGTATCGATAGATCTAATAGAGTCTATTCATTGAGTCATTAAGAGAATGTATCGATAGATCTAATAGAGTCTAGTCATTGAGTCATTAAGAGAATGCATCGATAGATCTAATAGAGTCGTCATTGAGTCATTAAGAGAATGCATCGATAGATCTAATAGAGTCTAGTCATTGAATCTTTAAGAGAATGCATCGATAGATCTAATAGTCTCTAGTCATTGAGTCATTGAGAGAATGCATCGATAAATCTAATAGAGTCTAGTCATTGAGTCATTAAGAGAATGCATCGATAGATCTAATAGAGTCTAGTCATTGAGTCATTGAGACAATGCATCGATAGATCTAATAGAGTCTAGTCATTGAGTCATTAAGAGAATGTATCGATAGATCTAAGATAGTCTAGTCATTGAGTCATTAAGAGAATGCATCGATAGATCTAATAGAGTCTAGTCATTGAGAGAATGCATCGATAGATTTAATAGAGTCTAGTCATTGAGTCATTAAGAGAATGCATCGATAGATCTAATAGAGTCTATTCATTGAGTCATTAAGAGAATGTATCGATAGATCTAATAGAGTCTAGTCATTGAGTCATTAAGAGAATGCATCGATAGATCTAATAGAGTCGTCATTGAGTCATTAAGAGAATGCATCGATAGATCTAATAGAGTCTAGTCATTGAATCTTTAAGAGAATGCATCGATAGATCTAATAGTCTCTAGTCATTGAGTCATTGAGAGAATGCATCGATAAATCTAATAGAGTCTAGTCATTGAGTCATTAAGAGAATGCATCGATAGATCTAATAGAGTCTAGTCATTGAGTCATTAAGAGAATGCATCGATAGATCTAATAGAGTCTAGTCATTGAGTCATTGAGACAATGCATCGATAGATCTAATAGAGTCTAGTCATTGAGTCATTAAGAGAATGTATCGATAGATCTAAGATAGTCTAGTCATTGAGTCATTAAGAGAATGCATCGATAGATCTAATAGAGTCTAGTCATTGAGTTATTAAGAGAATGTATCGATAGATCTAAGATAGTCTAGTCATTGAGTCATTAAGAGAATGCATCGATAGATCTAATAGAGTCTAGTCATTGAGTCATTAAGAGAATGCATCGATAGATCTAATAGAGTCTAGTGATTGAGTCATTAAGAGAATGCATCGATAGATCTAATAGAGTCTAGTCATTGAGTCATTAAGAGAATGCATCGATAGATCTAATAGAGTCTAGTCATTGAGTCATTAAGTCATTGAGTCATAAAGTCATTGAGTCATTGAGTCATGTTTCTTGTCCAACCTCTTACCATCCATTCATCTCCAACACTTAAAACCTCCCTAAACATTTCCCACACTTCCCCTAGAAATTGCACCCCAGCTCATTCATCATTTAATAAACGTGGTGCCCCATATGGGGACGTTCCAAACATAACACATAATAAATGACATGAAGAGGCAGTGGAGCGCCGTTGTTAAACCCCACCCTAGTCATTTGTGACACTTACATTTGGGATAGGCGCAGGGAATCAAAAAATTTTAGGAACCTCTGGCGTAGCCGAAGACAATATGTCCCACGCATGTTGAAGATAGGGTGGACTAAATATTACTTTAATACCACTAATATTGAGTACGATCTGAGCGATATCTAGCGAGTTCATTTGTGAAAATACAAGGCAACATGATGATTCCTACAAAACATTGCATGATATTTTTACAGCATTCGAGATATAAACATGTTATTTTTGGACTATCAGAATTTCAGGATAATTGAAGAAATTTTTGAATAAGTGTATGTAATTGCTGCCAAGAAACCCCCTCCCCCCCACTTATGCATGCGTACAGAAAATGTCCAAAATGGACCACCCCCTCAGTGCATACTTACTATATGGATAGCCAAGTTACTTATCAAGTTGATTATATCTTTTTAAAAAAAAATTAGCCTTTGAACAAGACCTTGCTTTAGTTGTCATTGAAATTCTAAGATTTTTAGATTTTATTAAAGTTAGAACAAAACCAAGATTATTTTTTAGAAACATTCTAAACGAAAAGATGAATGATGACCAATGCCATCTTTTTTAATGCAATAGGAGGAAACTGAACGTCAACTAAAATTGATGTCACAAGAAAACAAAAGGAAAGAAGAGTTGAGCAAATTGTCTGACTTTGTTAGAGTCATGAGAGAATCCAGAACTGCGGACCATTTACCGGTACCAAAAACTAGTTGTGTCTAGATTGTATCAAGAAGCTGGCTGTTAGATCTCCAACTGGTTGTGTCTAGATTGTACTTGTGGATGGCTGCTAGATATCCAGCTAGCTGTGTCTAGATTGTACCGGTGTGTGGCTGGCCGTTTCAACAGTTGAGGTACAATACAGGTCATGACTTGGAATGATCAGTTCATTGATGTCATTGTTTATTTTTTTAGCTTATTTTGCTTTGTTTATGTACAAATTTGCTTGATGATGTGTCTAAATTATTTCACTGTTGTAAGACAAAGTCTTAAATTGAATAATTTGCTTTAATGTCAAGCATAACATTCTTAACCAGGTTTTAAACAATTCTACTGTCGTTCATTTTAAAAGTTTTGTTTGATTTAGTGGGTGGAGTTAAGGGGGAGAGAACTGTGACAACAAACTCTTTGAGTTTAGCTGTAGTACAGTCACTAATGAAACAACATATTAAGGAAGATTTCTCCCACTGAGTTTGCTAAACCCAACCTTTGCTCACAAATTGTATGCATCAATGGATATGGCAGGTAGAAAGGGAGGCTAGTATACATGCATATGGCAGGTAGAAAGGGAGGCTAGTATACATGCATATGGCAGGTAGAAAGGGAGGCAAGTATACATGCATATGGCAGGTAGAAGCAAGTATTTCAAGCAAGCATTCCTTTCCTTAAACTGATTTTTCCCAAGAACATTACGATTTTTGTGAATGTGATTAGGTCCTAGTATGGTATGACTGTATGCCATAGTGTCGCAATGCCATGGCTCAATCGTCAAAATTATCACATCTTGTGAATATTTCAAGTCTTTCAATTTTTGTCCTGATGCTTTTGTACATTTTTTTTTTCTTTTCATCCTGTCATGTCTGTTCAACAGAAGTATCAAACTGACTGCTGCAGTTTATACGGTTTAAGCCAGGTTATTTGTATTGCAATTGAGCCAGAAAATGAAAACATTTTACCACATTCATTATAAAGTTTTAAAAAGAAAGCAATGCAGTTAAGTGAGGAATTAATTGTACCCAAAAATGTATCATTAGGGTTCAGAATGACACTACCCTTTGAGCCACATGCCACCTTTTGTTGTACCGGTGTTAATATTTTGATTGTTCAGGGCACCTGGCGACCTAACTCCCTTTCAACACAACTGCTAAAATTTACTGCTATTGTTTCACATAAGTGGCTCCTCTTTATAACAGAAGTCCTAATGTTTTTTTTATCTTTGTTTGTTACTAAGTTATGAGAATAACAAGTACAGGAATGCTTTCAAAGCTCCTAAGACATGTATTTGCAAGCTTAGATGATAAAACTATCAAATAGGGTAAAGTAGAATCACATTAAATTTGTTAAAGATAACTCTGTTAAAGATAAAATTGGAACAGTTGTTGCTAAGAATGGTGACCATGGTGAGGAACCAGTATCCAGCCTCAGATGTAAAGGATGGATTTAAAATTAGAGATTAATTTATTTAATTCATTTTGACACTAAATATTTTTTTTTTAAAAGATGATTTTTCATTTATTATACTTTATTTCTTTAAATATATGTGCTTTTCTAAATAGAGTTATGCAGCATTGCATTGGTATATAAGAGGGTTAACACCAAAAGTAGTTGAGGCAGTAGTGGGTTAAAATTGTTCATGCTTTTAAAGTTACAGTCACTTCTGTTGACATTATCCTGGATCACACCCAATGCCGGTGTTGTTTAAATGAGCTTTCTTGATCCTGCTAGTTTCCCCCCCTTGAAGTGAAGACTAACCATCTATTTGGTGACAGAAACAATAAATTGAAGTTACTGCCACATCAAATCAAGGTTGTGTACTCGCACCAACACTGTTCGCAATATTCTTCTCTGTACTACTCCGATACGCATTCAAGGATAGCAGTGAGGGAATCTGGTTACACACCAGAGCTGATGGAGGACTTTTCAACACTGCCCGCCTCCGAGCCAAGACCAAAACGACAGATGTCCTAATTCGCGAGCTACTATTTGCGGATGATGCGGCACTAACAGCACACACAGAAATTGGTTTGCAACAACTCGTGTCAAGCTTCTCCAATGCCTGCAAAGAATTTGGTCTGCAAATCAGCTTGAAAAAGACAAACATCATGGCCCAAGACACTCGACCTCCACCTAACATAAAAATCGATAATGAAAACTTGGAGGTTGTGGACAGCTTCACCTACTTGGGGTCCAAGGTCTCCAATACACTGTTCATTGAAGAAGAAATTAACAGCAGAATCGGCAAGGCAGCTGCCACAATGGCTAAACTAAATAAACGGGTCTGGCAAAACACCAAGCTAACGGAGAAAACCAAACTGTGCGTCTATCGAGCTTGTGTCATCAGTACACTACTATACGGGAGCGAGACATGGACCACCTATACATCCCAAGAGCGCAAGCTTAATAGCTTCCATATGAGATGCCTGCGTCGCATCCTTGGTATTAAATGGCAAGAAAAAGTGACTAATAGTGAGGTCCTAATGCGTGCGAATACCCAATCCTTAGTGAAAGACGCCTGAGGTGGCTAGGTCATGTTAAAAGAATGAGTCCCGGCCGCATTCCGAAAGACCTCCTATATGGTGAACTTGCTTCGGGAAAGAGGAAAACAGGTCGCCCACGTCTGCGATTTAAAGATGTCTGTCAAAGGGACATGAAAGCAGCCAAAATACATACAAGTGACTGGGAGTGTAAGGCAAAAGACCAATCTACGTGGCGCACAGTTGTCAAAGAGGGCGTCATGTTAGCCGAGGAGCGAAGAATGGAAGAGGCTGCAGACAGAAGAGCTAGGAGAAAGGCCAAAACATTTAGAAGCACGGAATTCGTGTGTAAAAACTGTGGTAAAGACTGTCACTCAAGGATAGGACTGCACAGCCACTCGAGAAAATGCAACCCAACCAAACGGTGATGCACCATCGTCTCACGAGACGGAAGGATGCCGATTATAAATCTAAATGAAAAAAATTCATTGACCTTTGACCTTTTTGGCCCTGCAGGAATGTAATATGAGAACGGCCCGTGAGTTGTTCTCCATGTGAGCAGAAACTAGTTAGAACGGTCATTTGATAAACCCATCTTACAATAGATTGTCAGCCCTAGATTGGTCAAGCTAGTTGGAAAAAAATGTCATAACTTAAACAACCCCTTAAAACAAAGTTTTTCGTAAAAATCCTTTATTATGCTTTTTTTTATATTGTTCTATTTTATATTATTATTCTAATGTTCCACCCGCTTTTACACTGCAGATTTATTTTACCAATTATTTCAGAAAAACAAAAGAAAATGGTATGCACTAGAGACCGACCGAAAGTGATTTTCTGATTTCGGCCGAAGCCGAAAATAGGCCGAAAGTTTAAAATGACTTTCGGCCGAAACCGAAAAAAGGCCGAAGGTTTAAAAATGACTTTCGGCCGAAACCGAAAAAAGGCCGAATATTAAAAATGAATTTCGGCCGAAACCGAAGCCGAAACCGAAAATGTAATATTAAGTTATTTTGAAATTCGATCTCGCATACATCTGCATACATCGAAAATGATGAGGGAAAGTATAAATATTTACATTCTTTTTATAAAAAATGAGATAATCGTGAATATTAATAAATAAACATCTAAAATAGGGGTCTCAA